CAAATCGCATTTTTTGATAAAGATTAGCCGAACTTAAACTTACAACCTGAAATCTGAATAGAACCTGTAACCGGAATAGTAGTCAAGGAATAAACTGATTGAACCTTAAATAAAATCTGAATCGAACGTCTAAGCGGTTAAGATAACAAAGAATAACCCTATTTACATGAATCGAACCAAATATTATTTTAAATTGGTTTTGAAAATATTCTTGAAAATATTTGTTAGCTTTTTTGAAGATTGTCCCTGTGAATAATGTGAATAATAAAAATAAACAGCAATAGAATATTTACATCTAATAAACTTAATTTATATTAAATTTAATTGTTCTATTGAAAAATGTAATAAATGTGGAGTGCCAAGACTCGAACCCAAGCCTTGGCTAAAAGATGCAACTGACCAGCTTCACAAACCGAACCGACAGACAGATAGTTGGTACGAACCAAACCCAACTAAAACTTTTGTTGGAATCTCAGCTTTGATATACCTATTTATATGTTCTACAATTCTCTATAAAGCACAACTTTTAATTAGGGCTCTCATAGAAACATGAACATATAATCTGCACTTTTCTTGCTCAATTATAAAGTTCCCACATGCTTTCGACTGCCAACTAAATGTAGAAGTTGTTTTTTCTTTCAATTGCCACTCGCTGTGGCATATCATATGTAAATTAGGAGCCTGGGGAACACCCACCTGCATTTAACGGCGCAGATTTTTAGCAATTACTTTGTGTGTGGGAATGCCAGAGACCCTACCCTGCTGACCCAATTAAGCCTCATTACCAAGTAAATCAGTTAATTGCCAGGCACAAGTCAGCACTAGCTGAAAGAGAAATAAAAGAGAAGAGAAGAGAAGAGTATCGGCTCGCAGAGTCTTTCTCACGCTGCAGATGAGCACTTGTCGAAGAAGAAGTAGTAGAAGAAGCTGCAGCACTTTTGGTTTCAAGCACGAGTTTTTGCTATTATATCTTTTTGACCAGTTTCCAGCAGCTGCTGCGGCTGCGGCTGCTCTCTTGGCCACAACCGAATTGAAGTTTTCAAAAATAGAAAGCATTGGCAATAAATACAATTTCTAAATTCTTGGCAAGCAAACGTGACAAGTGCCCCCTCTGTCTCTCTCTCTCTCTCTCTCTCTTTCTCTGCGGGGACCTACATGGAGAACGAGAACGAGAATAAAACGAAACCCACTGAAAAGAAATCATTTATGGCAATTGTCTGAGGAAAAACTTGCACACGACTTTTATGACCGCGTCTAAGACTAAGTCGACTTTAAAACTTGTGTGGACAAGAAGTTTGGACAAGTTGCTGGCAGAAACCTTTTTGCCTTGCCTTTTAACTTTTGCCTTTTAATTAATACAAGTTGCGACTTTCTTTAACCCATTTTCGGTTTAACTACAACAACTAAATTACCTGCAATCTCTAGTCTCAAGTCTTTGGTCTCAGCTCTCAATCTCAATCGCTCAAACTCAGCTCGCATTTCCTTTTGGCCGCATCATTGTAATAGAAATTTTAATCACACTCTGAACCACTCTGCATCACCGCCAAAATGTGCATTGTACGACAACTTTCTATGGTAAAAATAAGAAATAAAAAAATGATATGCAAGCATTTAATTGCGCGTGTAATAAACAAATAAACAATAGCTGCACACAAGCCATAAATTTGCAATTCATTTTTTTCTTTTTCCTTTTTTTTTTATATTTTGTTGCTGTACATTTAATTACAGACGCGCCTAATCGAATTGTAGATATTTGTACTCCAGTTGAGCAGAGCTACGGCTGCAAATGTATATATATAAATATATATATCTACGTAGTTGCACAGTTATCAACTAACTGGGCTGAAAATGTGCCTTAATTAGCCTGCCGAGGCCCCAATTAAAACTGTTTGCCATTTTATATATTTGAGCTGAGCTCCATATTTATAGACATATAGACATATATATAGTTATGGTACGAGTTGATGTTTGAGTTTGGGCTCATGAGAATGTTTATGATATGCTGATGATGCTGCTGTCTATGCCTGGGTTGTTAATGCCGAGGGCAGGCAAAGAAGTAATTAAAGCAGCAATTATTTTTACAAAAATTTGATGTATGACTAAACCTTTTTGACATTAACAAGAAGATTAAGATTCGCAGTCTGCGTATTGATAAATATATTATACAAAAATGAAATTCGCAGACTGCGGCACCGTTAGATATATAATATATATACCGACTAGAGTGCCGACTTATTTGGTTTGTTTTTTTATAAGGATGGAAATCTCTATCTATAAAGCCTAGACAAGAAATTATCATTATCAAAAGGTCAGACGAATGAGCAGCTCATCATCGAAATGAAGGCCTCATTCGAGGACTTTGAGATATCCAATGATACTTGGAAGGGATAAAGATATAAAAATATATATATTGGAAGGGATATAGGTGTCATTTAGAGTACCACTAGAATCTCCTATTGCTCCAATTACTCAGCCAACCCTCGCATGTGTAGTTAGGGAAATGTGCTAATATATGCCATGCGCCACTTGAAAGCTAATTGGAAGATTTTGCCATGTGTGTGTGTGTGTGTGTGTGGGTGAGAGTGTGCGTGGTTGTGTGTGTGTACTAATGATAAGCTTTGCATTTTGTATGGCATATGTGAGCAGCATACGGGGCCGGCGAACCTTTGAGGACATTGTGTGTGCACTTCAAAGGCCTGCGGCAGCTTAGTTTTGCAATGCAATAATTAAAACTTTGAGCTCTTATCGAACAGATAGCGTTTAAATGGAATCTGATTATGATATTTGCCAGATATGCAGCTTGTATCAATTATGCCATTTAGAACTCGGCTTCGATGTTAGCTAATGTGTTTATATTCATTTAATATATGCTGTAGCCAAAGTCTCAATGTCATGCCTCGAATCAGAAGTCGTGAAGCATTCATATTCACATTGCCTAAATTCATAAATTAACAGCAAAAACTGAAAGGGAGACAAGAATTTGAGGCCTGAACGTCAGCGAAGCTTATCACTCAACAGCAACAATGGGAAAAGCAATTAAAAGTTGGCCTATTTTCTGCTGACAATTTTCCAACGACTGAAAATTGCTTAAACTGTGCGGGGCTGGCTGAGGGTGTGGCTGTGGGTTGTTGGCCATAATCAGGGCTGTGTATGGCAGCATAAAACCTTTAAGCATTTTGCATTTGAGTACCTGCAGTCGGCCTGCACAGGATAACAGATTTTCGGTGTGTGTGTGTGTGTGTGTGTGTGAGTCATAATAAACGGCGAGGAGGCCGGCTTTTAGGCTAAAGTTGGCCAGGAAAATGTTTGCCAGTTGGCAACAACAGAAACAGCCGCAGCAGCAGCCACAGAGCCGCCGACTGTTCCACTTTTTTAGCATCAATGGCTCGTGACATTGTTTGTGTGCGTTTGCCTCGCACAGATATTTACCCACACAAACACACACACACACACACACACACACGCGAGTTTATGCAACATACAACGTTTATGGACTGCCCACTCCACAAAACACTTTTCATGAAAACCCATCAGAAATCTCGACAGCAGCACACTTTTAATTTCGATATTTGTACGAGTTAAAAAAGGCTGCAAGCCGATTTTCAGCTGAACTGGTTCGCGCCCTGAACTTTGAATTCTAATACGTATTTTACTTTAAGCCGAAGCTTACTTAAATCAAGACAGAATCGTTTAATAGACATTTTGAAAATAAAGCAAGTGTTGCAGCAATTCGAGTGTTGCACCAAGACCTGGGTTGAGGAAGAAGTTTTAATTCTTTGAACCATCGACAGGTTCAACTTAACGCCTATTTAACTATGGTCTTTGCCGGCTGCTTATTTCATGATTAACAAACTTCGTAAGTCTTGTCGCATAAACACCTAAGCAAACACACACACACACACACATAGAACTGGATAAAGAACCAAAACATGTTTGTAACAAGTGAAACATGCTTGAGGTGAGAGTAAACAGCTAGCAAATACTCTCTACGCAATTTGAAAGTAACATGAATCCGAAAAAAAGAAAACTTGTTCTTATACCTGCCCTAAAACATATAAAAATACTTAGTTATTTATAAAGATATATTATTATTATTATACAAGACAGCTACTAAGTTGTAATAGATAGATACTAGAACTTAGCCAAATATGCTTGTGATTAAACATACCTTAGTAGAGGGTATATTAATTATGCTGCTGACAGAGGCAGCTGAAAAGAAAAGTGCCTGCGAGCGTCAAGCCGTGTCGGATATGAGAGATATATAGAAAGAGAGAGAGAGAGATAGAGAAAAGAGCTGGAGAGAGGTAGGGAAGGCAGAAAAACCAGAACCACACTCTTAATGAGAAAGTTCATTTGCTTTACGCATTTGTCGCAGCCAGAGCCTGAAACTGAGATTAAGTGAACAAAGCATTAATTAATGTAGTTAAGTTCATTAAAATTAATCAACTTAACAATTGCCCAAATGCGTAGCTTGGGGCGAGTACAAAGAATATATCATTCAGTTTGCAGAGCGCAGAATATAATGATTAAATATGGATATGAACTCTGTTAAGTCTGTTAAAAATTAATATGTAGCGAATGTTAACAAAATAAACATTTAAAAAATCTTTAAGTTGAGCTTTGGTTAGGGTATGTCAATGTCAGCATCTCAATTGAATATTTTTTCCCCTTCCTGTTGAACATATTCACTAATTTTTACGCTAGCTTCACATGTTAATTTATTAGGCACGGACACGTACCATATTTAAGTTGATAACAACTGAAGTTGTCACACACACGCACACACACACGCACAAAGTGAAAACATATTTGTCGTGTATTTGTTCTTCTGTTTAGCTCTTCGAGCATTTCCTGACACTTTCTTTTGTCAGGCACTTGAAATAATGAACTGGCAACTTAATTGAATTAAAAATGAGCTTGTAATAATTGTAAAATTGTATTTGTGTGTAAAATATATATTTAACTAATTTGGAATTTCGTTTGCTCTCCTCTAATTACAGCCCGAGTTTTAAAAAAACAGCCGCAAAATTTCGAAAACATCGAAAATGGTCTTTGACTGTGGCGTCTGGTGTGCAAAGTATTTGCTTTGCATACTAAACTTCATATTTTTTGTGAGTATAAATAAAATGCAATTTGTATTTGAATAAATTATAAATAAAATAAAATATATGAAAAATGCAAAGAAAAATATTGCACATATTTTACAAGCTAAAAGTTTGATAAGTCGTTTTGTTGTTGTTTAATTTGCATATTAAATTTCGTACGCTCATTCATAAAAATTAAAATATAAATTTTAAATAAATGCAACCGAATCACAAATCAGTCTAATAAATTCTCTTTTAAATACATGAAAAAATGTTGTAAGTAATTTCCCAAGGGAATGCATTTGAAAAGTGTTTTTTTTTTTTTTCTATTTAATTTATATTTATTTTGTTGTCGGTTTGGTTAAATTGCATTACAAATTGTTCGGAGGCGCGGCTACAACATTGCGGCTGCAGTCAATCAAGCAAATCTCTGCGCATGCGCAGTTTTTTCGCATTTATGGCGGTTCATTGACTCGCTTGTAGTTGTTATTGTTGCAGTTGTTGTTGTTGGTGTGTTTATCGTCTCAACATCATCAACAACAACAACAACAACAACAACAAATGCAATCAACATGACCGAGCAACATAAACATAATAATGTTGTGTGCTGGCCTACGATTTGCATGCCAAGCTAACTGAGGGTTATTTTTTCCTATCATGAACACCTTTTTTTTTTATGTATATATCTTGCAGGTGCTAGGCACAATTATATTCGGAGTCGGACTATGGCTGGCCATCGACAAGCACTCGCTGATTGCTCTGCTCAAGCTTGTCGAGAGCGAGCGCATTGAGGTAAGTGTCCACATCTAATGCCAGGTGAAAGTGTGCGGGAAACACCCCAAAGAGCCAATGCCAGGAAAAGTGAACACCAAAAAAAACGCCAATCATAACATTGAAAGGCAATTTACGCGTTATATTATTAGTTTTATTATTTTGAAGCCCAACTGTGAAGCCACCCCGAATGCGAGACAAACCCATGTACATGCTATCCCCAATCTCGTATTCCCCAAAGCAACATCACGTGCAACTGCGGCACGTAATTGTTGACATTGCCCCATGGAAAATTAGTTAGAATGCGAGCTCGTATATGTTATTAGAAAAAAGTCGGCTATTTATAGAAGGGAGTGTTCAAAAGGGATGTATCCACAATATTGAAACCCCAAAATAAATGTGATATCTAAGTTTCTTTTAATACTATTCTAGTTTTCTAAAATATTGTAGTAGTACATGAAATGTCAACTGTTTCCAGCTTGAAACTCCTAAATATATTCTTACTATGAATTTTAAGCAAAGCTACTTAGTTTCTTCGAAATCAGTCTAACCATAACCCGAACCAAACTACTTTATGAATAAATAAAGAAGCAAATCTATAAATGGCCCTTCACCAAATATAGCCCACATTTTGCATATGAAAATATCTATATTGAAATATTTTTCAGTACAACGGGCAAATGTTGATAGAAACTTTAAGAATTGCAAGCAAAGATTTATCCAAAACCTAAATGCAAGAAGGTGAAATCTAGCTTGACTTCATTGGGCTTGCATCTCAAGAAAGATACATCAACATTTTAGCATCACAAAAATTTGGACTCATAAAGTTCTCCAGTCCCCAATCCTTAACCTCAAACTGTCATAACTTTGTCTAAGCTGAATCGCTTTGCATGCAAAATGATTTATTATCTAGATTAATAGACTCTATTTAACATCATGTCAACAACAAATGGAATAGACATGGTTGTATAATGCAACCCATATAGTAAAATAACAGATACATAGATACAGATAGTATAGTAAAATATATATAATAAAAAGTAGCTTCAATTACAATTACAATTACATTGTTAGCTGTGGCTTATTTAAACTCTCATGAATAATATAAATTCCGCAAAAAAGCCACAACTTCCGTGGCATGCCGGATGCCAAACATGCCTGTGGATGGGCTATTTGTTTATACAAAAATGAGTTTGCATTTAGTAATTGCATTCTCAAGAGTCGTAAAACTTTTCATTTACTTAAGCTGACATATTTAAAAAATGTACAAAACTGAATATTGGCTCGACCCAATATATATGCATGTATATTAATTGAGTTTGGCTTCTGACCAAGGCAAATTCCGCTGCGCAGTTGCATGTCATGTGGCAACAAGCAATTGAACGCTGTCAGTCCAAGTTCGAGCCACTTTTCGTCCGCTTTTGACATACTAAGTGAAAATCGTTTGGGAAAACAAATGCGGAGCAGGCAAAGTGCATGTCCTAGTTGCGTTGCGTGTAATGAGTAATTGCAGGTAACTCGAAATGCACAGGTAAAGGCTAATTGAGTAAACTGCCGCCTGGCGTGGGAGTTGCACGTTTTGGTCAATGAACTTCGCAAAACTTTCAACTGACTGAAATTTCATTATTTTTACTTTTTCCAACAAAACAAAAGCCCACTCGCAGCTGCCAGCTTTTAGAGTACTTAAGTCTTTCATAGTTGTCAAAATTTATCTGTCTGTGTCAATTAAGAGATCTCGTACATAATTTAATTACGAATGTTGCGAAAGTTGTTGGGCCACTCGAAAGGTTAATTACAATTACGTATACGCCGCGTAGTACGCATTCTTATGCAAAGCACAGACAATTCTCAGTTCTCACAATCTCATTTTTCTCTTTAATTTTTGTATACTCTTTTAGCATTTTACACAGCCTCAGGTCATAGAGCAAATGGCCTACGCTCTTCTCGTCATCGGAGCCGTCATGTTCTTCATGAGCCTCTTGGGCTATTTGGGCGCCATGCGTGAATCACGCTGCCTGCTGTCAACGGTAAGTGTCCAGATACAATTACGATCAAGTCACAGATACACAGATACAAAGATACAGTAAGTATCTCGGCTGTTGCCCAACGGGCGGTTGCATCATCGGGCCAGCCGAATTGTAATTGCAACTTTCAATGGCGCCGCGGGAGACGCAGCCAACAAATATTCATTGCACGCTTATTGAAACGAGTTGTAGATTTTGTCTTTAAAGATATTTATTTTTGGTGGGATTTTCATTTGACTTTGGCGCTGGCTTGGAAAATTTGTTGGAACCTTCGCTGCGGCCAGAGAAAGTTGCAATATGTTGTGGGTACTTGTTGTAGGCCTCGTTTTATGATCTTAACATCTGATATTTCCATGATCTTTGAAACGTGTTTCAGCACCTCGTCAAGTGTCGTGAGGCGCTCGCGATTGCATGTGTGTGTGTGTGTGTGTGACAAGCCCTTCACTTTTGGCTCTGTACTTGATCTTGTGTGCTTGGAATTGTAATTTCACCTGAGCACATTTCAAGGCGCTCGCACAAGTTACACATAAGCTATATATATATATATGTGTGCATATCTATCGGGCAGTCTGGGGCCCAACCCTAAAAGAAATTTCTATGATTGAGCTCGTGCTGGGCGCAATTAATAAACAGTTTATCACTTTGGCTCAGGCATTACGAGTACTCGACTATTTAAGCTATTCATAAGCGTCGTCTCAAGACTTTCCAGGGCTTGGCCAGTTTAATTGCAACAGGTGCATGCCTCGGACGGGCCAGAGGGGGGGGACTTGCCTTCTTATTGTTAATAGTTGATAGTTGTCACAGGCACACACACACACGACTCGATTGCCCTTCGGGGGCGTAGTTAAGACTACAAATATCTCTAAAATGTGTATGCACAAAATTGAGCACAATTTGCAGTAAATGAAGCGAGGGCACTTTTAGTTATGGCCCAAGGCCGGGCACTTAGCATGGCCAAAGTGTCTTAGCATTGCTAAATTTTTAGAGAGTGCGCCAATTATTTACCAATTGGCAAGTTCATTGGGTCTCGAGCTCTTAAAATGCTATTTGCGACACGATGTTTAACGAGTAAATGCTTTTAAATTGAAAAAAGCGGCAAGAAAGAACAACAATGCCAAAGCACGCCGAACGTCAAATACCCTTATGGACATGTGGTCTAGAAATACTTTTGGATTACCGAAAGATTGTTGCTATAGAACTAATATAATATAGTAGTAGGGTGTGATATGCATGTTAGATTAGAGATTATATACCAGAGTAAAGGGAAGCTCGTATGAGAATAGTTTATTAATAAAGTATAGTATGTATAGAGGTACATGATTGGGTAGAGTGGAAATACAAAAAGTATTTCATACAAAATCTAAATACTAGACCGATTCCTTCCATATATTGTATATAGAATATATATAATAATCCGCCATTGATTAGATTTATTCTATATGTAAATGTCAAGTATGGTATTCATTTTTTTTTGTATTTTTGAAGATTTGAAAACCAAAAAAATGTATGTCACTCTGATAAAAGTTGCTAACATAGAGTAACACGATATGACAGCTATATGATATAGTGCTTCAATCCAACCGATTTTGACACATATACTGCCTAGAAGAGAAGCCCGAATCTGAGCAAAGACTTGTGACCATAGCTTTAAAGCTGAGAGACTTGAAATTGACATGGGCACAGAAACTTGGCCCAATCAACTTTGCTGTTGCTGCTGATCAAGAATATATATGCCTAAAGGGCTCGCATATGTCTTCTTCAATGCATTACTTTAAGGGTATAAGCATAATGAATGCTTTACACCAAACTGCAGCCAATAGAAAAATAGTGTTCAAAGCCGGTTTTTGGCCTTTCTGTAAAGCGCGCATCTAAATTTAAGCCCACAAATTGCATGTATCTGACAGATACATTAGCAGGCAGGCAGTTAGCTTTGGGGAGCAGCGAATGAAATGCTGTCAGGCGTAACAGCCAGCGCAGCAGCAGCACCATGGAACTTTATCAGGCCAAAGCATCGCGACAACAACAACAAATACCAAAAGAGCTTATAAAACATTCAGGCAGCATTTCAAATTGACCTTCAGCATTTAAGATTGGCCAGCGCCTGCAGCGCGTGTGTGTGTGTGTGCTTGAACTCAACACACATCTAACGCATGCTGCACATTTGGCTCAGGGTCAAACGCATAGATTTTTATGTAATGCTCGCGACTCGACTACATAAATTGTGAATTGGGTCAGCGGGTGAATGGGGCGTATGCGTAATGTGCACATTCTACATTTATTAACAATGTTTTTTATATGATTTTAATTTTTGCGCAGTACGGCACGTTCCTCATACTGCTGCTGGTGGCGGAGCTCGTGGCCGGCGGCCTGGCTGTCTTCTACAAGGAAAAGGTGCGCAGCGAGAGCAAAAAGTTCCTCCAGACGACAATCACCAGCTATACGCTGGGCGAGAACATGGATGCCACGTCGCTGATGTGGAATCAGCTGATGGGCAACTTTGGCTGCTGCGGCATCAATGACTATCATGACTTTGACGAGTCCGAGGCGTGGAAGAACACAAAGGGCAATCGCACCATACCGGAGGCCTGTTGCGTCCTGAAGGATGTCGCGCAAATGGTGCCGCGCGACGAGGACTGCACGACCAATCCCAGCGATGCCAACAGCTACTACAAGAACGTAGGTGTCGCCAGGATTGCTTATATGTAAACTAAAGCTAAAATACCTTGAACTTTGCAGGGCTGCTACGGGGTCTTCACCGAGTGGTTGATACGACAGCGCGAGCTCATCATTGGCGTCATTGTGGCCGGCATTGTGCACCTGATCCTGGTCATACTCGCCTTTGCGCTGTGCAAGGCATTTGCCAAATACGACGATATGCGTCTGTAAAGAGGTTTTCTTCTCATTTAGATTAGCCAAAAAAGAAAGCACCACATGCTAGCTTATCATGGGTAAAAAAAACAACAAAACAGTGAATGGCAAATAAAAATTAATTTAAAAAACTAAAATAACCCCAACGAACATTGAGATACGCTCAAATTTCAAATGCATTTTCCCCCAAAACACACACGCACACACTTCTACTCTTAACTAAAAAGCAAATATAAATAAAAGGAAACCCGAAATGAAAGTTTAACAAATATTTAAAACAAATGTTGCTCAAAAATTGCCGCCAGACACGAGAACAGTGGACGATGTTTTTATGAGAAAGAAAATAAACAAACAAACAAAAAAATGCTACGCATATTTATTTGTGAATGAAGAAAATCTGTTTTGATAGCAGTTTTAGTTCTTAAGTAGTATTCTACTATATACATACACGCCCACATGCATATTTGTATTAATTATAGTGTTTTTTAGTCCTATTTCATTAAAAATTTGCAAAACTGACTCTTTGCAGCAAAAAAAAACCACTCAAATACATCACAAGAACGTATAATAATTAAAATAAAAACAAGGAAAAGATTTTGAAGTCAAAATAAACATAATAAATTTGAAATAATTAAACACATCTAAATGAAATCGGCAAATGCGATTTTCAATATACCATATATTGAAATTGTACTATGTGTATTAGAACGTAAGTCTTCTATGTTTAAGTTCTAATTTTAATTGTTTGCTATGGCTATATTCAAAGTTTTTAACTACACGTATCGGGCGAGAGCGACGAATGCATCGTGTTTATACCTTTTGTTAAAAATGAATGTTGTACATTTTTGAATTATATATGTATACACATTTACATACACATTATACATACACATATATACATATATATATATATATAACTATAATTAATGCATATTAAAAAACACGTATGTCTGTAGTTTACTTAATGTACTTTTGAAGCAAAAATCCCCCAAACTGAAAAACTAAAATCCGAATTATAATAAAATCAAGTGAAAATAAATTCCAAAATACGACAAATTTAAAATGTATAATTCTGCAAATTTTCGAATTTGAATTTAAAAAATGAAAATAAATAAACATCGAATAAAAGTTTAATAATTCTTAAAATCATTTTGACTTTAACGGGGACTAAGATTCGAACTCTTGGCATAAAAACGAACTTAACCGAGTTAATGGATAAATAGCCATTGATTTATTTGTTTATTCTGTTACATAAAATATACTCGTACTTTAGCTTAAATATTAATTGTTTTCATTTGGAAAAAATAGGTCATATTTTATGACCATATTCGTGTTCTTCGGCCAGCCTTGTAAATGATATAAGAGTTTGTTCATGTTCGGAATAGTTATCCTTTGGCGAATGTTTATGTTCCATACGTACTTTACTTAAGTGAATAGAAAATTGAGTTAAACACCATACCAAATATAAATACATGTTTTTTTTTGCTTTGGATAAGCATTTAAAATTCACACGCATGCTTAGAGAGTAGCTTGGAATAGACTTAAATAACTAGGCATATATATATATATATTGTTGTTGCAGTAAAAAGATATATATGTATATGTTTATAGTTAGAGTATGTATTTACATACATAGATTAGGAGCTATGTGCCTGCATTATGCTTTTGGAATACTTTGCGTAAAGACTTCAAGGAGCGACAGCTTGCATCGCCTGCAGAATGATAGATCACAACAGATTCTCAGCTGAATGTGAATATATAAAATGGAAAAATCATTTTTGGTATGCCTATAAAGTGTATATAAAAAAAATCGGATGAGCTGTTTGTGAGTTTGAAAAAAAAGAACGCTTCAAATTTGTCACATGGAATTTTTTGTTCGTTTATCGCTAAGTACTTCTAAATAAAACTTGGAGCGAGATCGGAAAACGAAAATAAGCCTTGGGTAAATCACTTTTTAAAAAAGCTCAGTTATAAATCGGTTTACAAAAATTTCAACTGAAATCATATAATAAGCCAAAAGTTACGACATAGGCGGCTCTTCGTCGTAGTTGGGCTTGGCTAGGAATGGTATCGAGAAATCAACCATATTCGGATAGACCAAAAACTTATTGACCGCCTCGCACAGCTTGCTCTCAATCACATTCGTAACAATGGACCAATCCACCGACTTATCGCCAACTTGCGGCTTTGTCGATATCCACAGACGCGGCGGTCCCCGGAAGCACAGCCACACGCGATCCGACGGCGGCGGCGGTATATTCAGTGTGCCGCGTGCTACCAAACCCTTCAGTTCCACACGCAACGTTATGTTCGCGTTCATGTTCTCCATGGCGCGCTGCACGTACGGCAGCTCCGTGGCATACTGAAACAAATTGGAGGTGGCAATGCGATCCACAATCTTGAAAATGCGCCGAGCATTGCCCGGCGAATTCTGGAAGAACCTGCAAATGGGCGAGCTTTAGATTTAAGATTTGTTTACACAGTTGAGGCACTTACTCTGCATTGTTTGCGTTCTCGACAGGTGGGCCTGGCTGCGACGCTTCCGAATCCGACGAGGAGCCACCCGTACTCTCCGCATCGCTGTCAAAGATGGAATTACTGCCATCCGGCTGGAGCTCATCGGGTGCACTGCGCCCCTCCATATTTGGATCTTGTGACGGTCCAGCTGATTCCGAGTTGGCTGTCGATGACTTTGGCTTGCTGCGCACGCGCAACAGATTCAGCTTAGTGGTAACCGTAATGTGGGCCAGGCCCTCGTAGGTGACATCCGCGTCCAGCCAAATGCCGCGCTCGTCCAGCATGGGCTGCGATATGCGATGGACCAGCATTGGCGATTTGCCCAAATAGATGTTCGTGATGATGACCTCCTCCATAAAGCTGGGCAGCTAGAAAATGCGTAACAGCAGCAAGTGAGTGGGAAGAGCTGAGAGCAACAATTGCAGCGATTGACTGACCTTTATGGAGTTGAGTTTCTTTTGCATGAATTCCTGAATCTTTATTTGCAGTCCAGGATTATGCAGGCAGCTGAACAGGCAGCGACCCAACAACACATTGGCCCAGACGACACTGCCGGATGGGCCCAGAAATAGAGACTGATTAATGCCCTTCCACAGCTCATGCTCCTGTCGTCTGGCACGGCGACTCTACAAAAGCATCAGAAGTATAAGCCATAGCACTTAAACGAGACCCCAGACTTGGGTGTATTTATCTACATTTGGCTACATTTGCAATTAAAATAAGAAATCAACAAAATATAACCTACTCTTCGGCGATTTGCCCCAGAATTCTGCGCTTTATTATTGAGATTGCGGCATACGGGAATCTGGCTTTGATTGCAAGCTTTCTACGAGGATAAAAAGAATATCATAAGGGAAAAATCATAGAAATCAAAAGCCAGGCAAAAATGAAAGTCAAAGAAAGGCTGAACTTATTGTGATTATTGCTACCTGGTAGACCGCCATGAATTTGACATATTCCGCCGGATTTCGTGCGACGTCCGCGTTCATGATGAGCCCCTCATAGCCATCCCTTTGTTGATCGCTTGCCGGATCCTCGTCGATCGCTTCGTCCAGCGTATCGGGCGTATTGGCGCCTGGGGTCTCATCATTGAGCAGCGAAGACATGGAGCCCTCCTCGGGTTCCTTGAAGCGCGCCTGCAATTAAGTTGGGTCAACAATTGAAACAGAGCTAAGTTGAGCTATGCACCTACCTTAGGAAAACCCCTTGTTAGATTGATGGCCTGCTGGGCGGCAACCGCTTGCAGATCTGTGTCCTCCACATAATGCGCCATGGGCACCTGCAGCTCCGACTCATGGACGCAGCCCTTGCTGGCCGCTATGAAGCGACGATACCAATCCTCCTTCTCGCGATCGCAGCGCGCAAACATCAGCAGACGCACCTCGTCGCCGCAGGGTATGGTAATGTCCCGCACCTCCTTATCGGGCGATATGGAATTGTGCAGCTGGCGCAGCTGCAAAGAAAGAGAGGGCAGAAGGGGGGGGGTTAAAGATCACATATATAGCTGCCCGATCTGCACATACATCGGCGAGCATAACTGTAGAGGCAAACTCAATGGGTTTCAGCGTCTCATTGGCCAGGGTGGGCGTGATGGTAGCTGCACGGGACGCGCCATCCGTTGACTCAGCGTCTTCCATGGGTGTAAAATAGCCAGTGCAGGCGTTCTTCACAATCAGCTGGATGGGATATTTGCGATTGAAGAAACTGCAAATGCAAAAGGTTTAGGCACGCAAATTCCAGGTCAATTTCTGTGTGCAAATACTCACCGCTTTCTGGCCAGGCCCGTGGGCAGCAGCTCGACGCGAGCGTCGCGCAAATCGTAGGAACGATGATCGAGAAACAGAATCTTGGCCCGATCGATGGGCTTCTCGTTCCACATGCGCCGCTTGGGCACGCGTGCATTTGTGCCGGATATCTTTAGATTGGTGCCGTCGAGGCGTACGTAGATGGCCCGTGTCATGGCAAAAGAGAACGTAGCGGGATCATAGCTCTCCAGCTCGTTCATCCAGCCCGAATAGCTCTTAATCGTCTTGTGCTCCTCCACGGCGGGTATCTCGCAGATGGGCATGCCATCGTAGTTGGGTATCTGAAAGGGCCGACGCTCCGGATGTGAGCCCAGCACATGGTTCTCGAACAGGTAGCTTATGTAGTGGCTGCAATAGTTCACACCCGCGATGAACATGACGGTGGCCAGGACACCGCGCCAGAATTCGGGCAGCGGCAGCACCGTCAGCACAACCAGGCTGCCAACAGCCAGCATCGGCCGGCTGACGGCACCGGCACGCCAATTGATGGAGCTGGCGGCGCTCAGTGTGCTCCAGAGCGAGAAACCCGACGCGTTTAAGTTGTTCCGAAAGGGCAAAGGGTCGGCCGATAAGCTCCTTGCCAACGGCTCCTCCAAGAGGTTGCTTGCACTGCTCAGCGGCAGATCAAGAAAAAAACTTCGTTCCCTGACGGTTTCAATATCTGAGAACTGGACATTGCCCGACTGTGCATCCGCATACGCCTGACTGCTGGTCGTCGGCGCCATGTCCTCGTGC